GATCTAGGAGCAAAGTCGTGTCCGACCGGCCCATGGCCGACCACCAGCACTCGCCTGCCTTTGAGCTCCACCGAGGGGCATTCGGAGGACACGTGTGTTGGCGCATCCGCGCTCAGCGCAGGGGCTGGCTTGCAAGCGCCTGCGGCGTCCAACGCAGCCACCAGGCCGGCAGAGGGCTTTGTTGGCAAAGCGGTGAGGCGCTCCAGCTCTGCTTTCAGAAGCTTGATCTCGTCCTGGGCCTTCTTGAGTTCTTCGTTGGGCGCCTCCTTGCCAACTGGCCCAAGGCACCACTCCGGCTTTGTGTACTCTTTAATCCAATCCTTCTTGTGGATGGCAGACCAAAACTTCGTTGCGTCCTTGCCGGCCCAATCCAGAACCACTTGGTCACCTCCAGGGTGGTCCTCAAGGAACTTCGTGAGGTCGTAGATGTAGCCGTGGAGGACAACCCACGCAGAGTCCTTGGTATTGTGCTTCTTCACCTCACTCATGGGGATGCCAAGCACACCATCTTTCCCACCGTTGACGTGGCCGTTGACATGGCCGTTGACGTGGCCGTTGACCCCGGCTTGCGCGGGCAAGGGCTCGAAAGCCGGCTGGTTCTTAGACCAAAGGCCACCGTTGGAGAACTCCAGGTACTTCTGCTGGTCCGTCCGGCAAGTCATTCTTGCGATCATGGGGAAGCCACCCATCTGGACGTCCATCTCGAAATGGGAGCCCTTCCGCACTTTCCCAACCACCGGCTGGCCGCCGAAGCAGGATTGGACGGAACGCACCTCGTCACCTTCCATCTTCAGCTGCACTCCCCCTTTCACGTTCTTGATGAACCACTCGCCTGCGATCTCCTTCGTACCATCGGTGAGGTTGACAGGTTGTGTCATGGCTGCGGTCTGCACAACTGAGGAATTGGTGGCGTCGTCACTCTGCCAAAATTACTGGATCCAAATGGACTTGCGGCCGTGGTGACTACTGACTACCTGACCATGGCAAGAGAACAATGAGACATGTTTTGCCATCGCAATAGCCAGTAGCAGCAGTAGCAGCTCTCCGAGTCTCGGGCCGTCGAGAGTGACAGCATCCGTCACTTACTTGTCCTCACCTTATGCTCCCAATGCAGAGCGCATTTCAATGCTAGGGACCCCCCCCCCTTTAGATCCGAGCCGTAATCTACTTGAGTCTCGTAGTACTGGGGGCATTTGAAGGCAGATTTCAGAATTTGGAATTTCGGGGAACCCGTGTTGTCTATCGTGGGGGGGGGGGTTAATAGCAGGGTATTCAGCTAGATCCACCTGGCCTCCTGAATGATTGGAGCCGCAAACGGACTCCTTCATTTTCTGGTCTTTGATTATTTTTGAATGGTTGTCCATATAGGGTTGTACACGACAACTACATATAGTTTCAATGAAGTTTATTACAATTTTGAATCATTCATAATTTAAGTATAATTCCTTTTATGAGCTTTGATTACGTTCTAAAATTGATTTAAACAAGTTATGTTCCGATGTTGTTAGATTCCAATTGTATTTGATTTGATTTGGACTGCTTCTAGCTGTGATTTAATCGGCTTTTGATTCGATTTCATTCGGATTTCGCTAGAATCCTATTACATACCCCCCGCCCCTCATGTTCGGGTCGTACGATAAATACCCCCCGCCTCCAATCTAGATTCGGAACCAGCCGGTGAAGTCAAGTTTGATGTTGAGTCCCTTTACGAAGCGTGGCAGGGGGTTCACACTTAGACAGTATATCAGCAACACCTGAAGTGCCACCACAGTATTACTGCTACTCTTACTATTATTACTATTATAGTATTAACTCCCCATCGCCCTCCTTGATTTGGGCTCAACATCAGTCAGGTCTGCAATGAGGGTTGCCATGAGAAACTAATATACCCTAAACCCCAAACCCTAAACCCTATACTACCTATAGGAGGACGGGACCTTAGGGTGAGGCAGCCAGTTCTCCGTGAGGCCCGAGCAGGAGGGCTCACACGCGGTAGAAGTTGGTGCCTTGAACTCACGCAGAATTCTGGTGATCTCCTAGCTGTATGTTTCTCATGCAGTAAACAAAGCAAAATGAGAAAAACACGGGTTGTTAGTAAATGTGAACTAGGCAGTGGCAAAAGGCTGTTTGCCTGTAGACGTATCTGGACGTGCCTAGCTGCCAGCACGCAGCTGGTACTTGCCATAGGAGCAGCGCAGCAGTTCTGAAACATGATTTAGGAGGACCCCCCACCCTACAATAGTGGCAATGGAAATATAAGAAGACCTTACTACTATAACCCTTATTATCCACTATAGTCACTATGACAGGGTGGTAGGGGTGCCACCTAAAGCATGATGTGGCTGTCTGCATGTCTCGGGCCCGCGCCCCCTCGACCACATCGGGGTAGCCTCAGCTGAGGGACATGACGACTGTAGAGGGCTGGATTCAGCTTATAATCCTCCTTAAGTAGATAGAATATGGGGTATATGGGGATCTTATTATACAATACCCAAAGCCATATTCTATNNCTATCTACTCAAAGGGGGACTATATGTTGCCGAATCCCTCCAAGAAGTCTTGCCAAACCAGTCTCCAAGACATGAACCTCGATGAACTCTCTGACCCAGGAAAGTCCTGAAACACCTTTATTTAAGACCCCACATGAGCTATAGTCTAA